AAAAGTGGTTAAAGCATGGGTAAAGTAACATTAACACATATCGAAATATGCCAAACATCATCAAGCACCTCTTTCAGATCATCTGCTTCTCACCTACTGGAATGAACTTGATGTATTATTTTTACTCATTTCATCTTATTGAAAGTCAAGTTGTGCCTTTCAATTTAATCCCATCAATCAATGGATATATTTTACTTCATCAGAATCCTTGTGATTCTCCTTACCTATGAAACCTTCCCCCTTTCAAGGATAACTATCCTGAAATTACCTTACCCTCTTACACGATCTGTAAGCCAACCCGTTAGAGCTGAGATAAGACCATTTTCCCATTATCATGGTTGGGATGTGAGTATCTGTAAGTAGGATGATGTGGCTGTAAGACAATTGCAGAATAATTTACTGGAGCATGAATGCATATTCTGCTTGATTGAATAAATATGATCAATACCAAATGAAATTGGACATATGATCTTTAGTTGATGCATTTCCGTCTATTCCTGTGAGATGTCCTTTTTTCAATTTTCATCATTTATTTATCTATTTATGTGTTGTTTGTGGAATAGGTGAGTACAGCTGGCCCAATATTTGCTGGGCCCTGCATATCTCGTGCACTAACTTCACAGGTGATTTTTTCTCCCTTATAATATCTTCACAGTTATAAATCTGATACAACCACGGTAATACTATGTTAAGAGAACCATCCACAAGGAAACTTAGACACATGTTGGCCTGATCACACTGTCTACACTTTTCATCTCGAGTATATACTAACCTTTTGGGTAAGGGAAACAAGCATGAAAGTCATGATGTTTGTATAGCCTGAGGGGTCATAAGGTATCCCTTTCCTTTATGAGGGTGAGGATAGAGCAATACCCTTAAAGACCAAAAATCACATCTAAAAACTTCCTGCCCAGTGTTTTGCTTCGAATTAGTGGGATGGCTGCCATTAAGTGAAGGCCTTAGTTTATGAACCATAACTCAATTTCTCAATGTCTCTGCACACTTTTTTGACATTGATTTATCATTTCTTTCAGTTTTATGTCCACTTCTGTCTTCAGTTGGCGAGAGGACCTCCTACTTCTCAATCACCATCATCGTCACCCTAAAAGTTTCATGATATGATTAAGATATTGGCCTATTTAGGCCTTTCACAAGTTTATTTTTACTATCCTTAGTTTTCCTTTCTTTACATGCCGAAAGCCTTTCTTATTTTTCAGTAAGTAGTATCTAAAAATCTAAATGTTCGTGAGTATGAATATTCTCCCTTCTGAATCTCTACAGGTGCTTGTTTGTTCAAGAGATGGCAGTGTTTACTCCTTTGATTTGGTAAAGATCTTGAACTTCAGTTGTTCTTGTGCAGCTTATGATTATGGCATATAAAGAGCATACTATGCTGATGATATTTTGTCCTTGAGCAGCTTGAAGATTAAATTTTGTCATTTTTGATAGAACAAGTTTCTTAATCTCTGTATCTTTTCCTCATTAAGCTAGGCTCCTCCTGTTCCAAATCACCTCCATACAGGTGTAGTTGAAGCACCCAAGTTAGGTTGACCAAATCCAGTCCAGTGCAGATCCCACACCAACACCCGAATCGCATCGAATTGACAACGGTGCGACATGGATTTTGAAGGATATGAGCAGCATAGCTTATCTCAAGAGATCTCCTTATTTTTGTGTTTAAACTTACAATGTTTAAACCTACAAAATGATGAATTTATATTTTTTTTAATGACGGTGGTGTCCGGGCCAGCTTGTGCGCACTTTGACTATTCCACCGAGTACCACCCACCAGCACAAGTATTGGGTAACTCTGCCCACTAAGGCTTAAGCAAATGAAGAGAAATCACCTAGTTTTTTTGCCTCCGCTGGGATTTGAACTTGAGACCTTATTGCTCTCCTCCCACTTCATTGACCACTAGGCCACACCTTGGATGCACGAATCGGTTTTATTTTTCAAAATCTAGTGATAGTTTCTAGCCATTAGCTCCTAGTTCAACACACCCTGTCAACTTGATATTGATATTTATCATGTCCAACTTGCTGAATTAGATTCTCTTAGTTTGGCCGAAATTGTGCCTTTGTGAGAATATCTGTTACTCCCTCCGTTTCAATTTATGTGAACCTATTTCCTTTTTAGTCCGTGCCAAAAAGAATGACCTCTTTCCTTATTTGGAAACAATTTACCTTTATGCAATGATTTATAGCCACACAAAATATATGTGCCTCATTTTACACCACAAATTCAAGAGTCTTCTCTCTTTTCTTAAACTCCGTGCCCAGTCAAATGGGTTCACATAAATTGAAACGGAGGGAGTATTAGTTTTGACGTTGGAATAAACGACATACAAACATATGCAAATTCAACTCTCTTTTATTAAATTTGCGGCCAAATACATAGACAACTCCTTAAACTTGTCACGAAATTTCATTTAGAGGGGCTGACCTATTGAACACCCGATGTTACTTAAAATGTGTCAACTGAACACAAGTTGCTGATGTGGCACCATGCGTGTTTCACACATCATTTGAGAGCGTGAAATAGTTTTATGTTAGGCTGACATTGAACAAAAAATAAGTGTTAACAGAAAAAGGAAAATTGTAGTGACTATTTCATCCCCCCTCCCCCCCTCTCTTACTTCGATCTAAACGACGTCCTACCTCAGCTATTCTTGTCCATTTTGCCTTTTTACTTTTCTTCTCTCCTGCATTTCTCGCTAGATCTGTTCCTCATTTCTCTTTGAGAAATAGAGTCCCATAGCATGTACTTTCTAAAAAACACAGCATTATCCCTTTTCTTTTCTGGAATATGTTGTTGAATCCGTCTCCGCTCGTGATCTTTAGTCTCCGATTGTCGGACCCGCCGGAGCTCTCCCATGTATATGGTCGTAAACTAGCTAATAAAGAGATTAAAATATAAAANTGTATATGGTCGTAAACTAGCTAATAAAGAGATTAAAATATTAACTTTCCAAGATTCTACATCACTTCAAGAATATATATTTGGGATTGTGAAATGGTAATATTACCGTAACAGAAAGGAAGAAGGATTCTCCTGGTTTCTTCGAGTAATTTTTTTTTTATAAAAAGAGAGACATCTGTAAGATAGAAGTCATGAACTTTAGCTGTAGTGGAGTTGTTTTTTGACGTTTCTGAGAACTCGAAGGCACTTCGTTTTCCATTCCTCTATTTTTTCCAATGAGTGTTGTATGACTTCTTCATATTGTGCTGCTATAATCAGAGGGAGGAGGAGAAATGGTAATGGAATTTAATGGTGGTCAAATGGAGAAGAAGTGATGGATGGTGGTGGTGAAATAAAGAAGACGCGGGGGAGGGGAGTGAAAAATGGAATAAGAAGAGAGAAAGAAGAAGGTGGGTGTCTTGTGTTACTCTTGGGGTGCTTCAATGGTGGAAAGAGATGGAAGGCTTATGTGGATGAGCGACGGTGGTGTAAAATTCTTTCAAAGACTCTTTCTTCTCTGTTCTTTTTTCTTTTAATTCTGGCTTTTTCTATGCTGACGTGTATATTTACTATTGGCTTTATTTTCCACCTCACAGCAAGTGGCATTCACTCGCCGAACTTAGTCTAGCATTGTGAAATGTGTGTTTAATTGACACACATTAATTGAAGTTGAAGTGTCTAATAGGAAAATGTACAAGTTTAAGTGGCTGTTTATGTATTTGGCCTTAAATTTGCCAGTCTCGATATGCTTAACATTGTCATGTTGAACCACAGTGTGTGTGATACTAATGGTCTTATTGTCATAGTTCAACTTCATAGGTAATCTCCAAAAGTATACTTAGTTATTCCAAGACTCGTTTGAGCCATATCAACTCACAACCCCCTTCAACCATCGAATGTGCAACTGCAGGCCACCACATTTTGTTTCTTGCTTCTCCATGTTACTTGACTGCCCCATGCAAATCTTCAGTACCCTGATGTCGACCTTTTTCTGACAGTCGATCCTGCGCCGTCTGCATAATGGACTGCATTTGTGCAGGCATTAATGGTCCGTTGCTATTTTTTTCTAAAAAAATAATCCTTTCCCCACAAGCTCTTTACATGTCCTAAAATGTGATAGACAGTTTTGAGATGCTCCTTGTGAGAGGAATGAATGATTTGACTTACTAGACTTGCAACAAATGCAATAGCAGGTCATTTATGTGTCAGGTATAATTAGCTTTCCTACAAGTTTCTCTTAAATCGTGACCATCTCATCTAAAAGTTTATGCTTTTAAATTTAACAGTTCTTACTCCATGAACCTAAGTGATTCACATGTTTTGTTTGTTTGATGTATTATCAAATTAAATAAGGATATAGGGAAATAGAGCAGAAGAATCCCCAATAGTAAGATTGACAAAAGAGGTAGAAAATTTAGTTCTCGGAGTAAAGAGAAAATGAATGGCAACGAATTAAGGCAAAATTATTAGCTTCCTGCTTGTTCTTAATTCTGATAGGTTAACTCAGGGAAGCAGTTGAGCCACAGACATCATACCCTTCATTTTTGGCATTCAAAGAGCTCATGGAAGTTAAGATGCCTCATTTTCTTGTTTTCTCTTGATGCTGAAAATAAAGTCTGTAAGTTAATAATTATTAAGTGTAAATGTAAATTAATAATAATAGTAATAATAATGAATAATATCGGTCTAAGGTGAGCTTAAATGGAGCGTAGCCCGTGAGGATTGATATAACCGACCCCAACTAGCTTTGGATTGTGACATAGTTGTCTCTGAAGATCATTGTTTCTCCATCTTCCTGTTATGGGTTGGTGATGCATATCTTTCAAGTTGTTCCATTCGGAAGATGAGCTAAACTATTGTTAGAGATGCTAGGCTGACATCTCTGCATGAAATCTTTGATCATGCTAATGGGGTGTGGTTTCATGTTTTATTAGGAAAATGGTGATTTATTCTGGAAGCATGATATTGGACAGCCAATTACTTCATCTGCCTATGTTGATGAACACTTGCTATTGGCATGCATTGATTCTTCTCTGTCTCAAAGGTGATTTAGTGTAGTTTAATCATGCAATGAATTATACTATGATAAGTCAATAAGGAATTCAACTCATCTGTATATGTCATTGCCAGGTTAATCTGTGTTTGCTCCAGTTCTGGAAGTGTATGTGTTCTTCAAGTCAGCTTGAACTCTGACGGGGCAAATCAACCATGTGATATGGTGCGGGAATTTGCTAGGTATGAACTTGGAGGAGACATCTTCTCCTCTCCTGTGATGATTGGTGGGGAAATATTTGTTGGTTGCAGGGATGACTATGTGCACTGCATTAGTCTTGGATGAAATACCAATATAAGCCTATTACATTATATCTTTCACATGCTCTGTCTGTGGGAGTATAAAACTCCTCATTATCGGAGCATCAAATATTTGCAAAGAAGTTTGCTGCGAAATTATCCGAGTGTTNCCCCAAAACACACACACACACACACAAAAAAAAAAGGCTCAATGTCTCCCTTGGAAAAGGAATGGAGTTTCCCTTATATCACCAAAAAAATTGAACCGAGGGAGATACTCGGTGCAATACTGGGAGAGATTGTTTTGGAAGGACCACATATGAATCAAGTTGCTTTCAACTAATGTGCTCAACATTCTAGCTTCACGATGACAAAAAGGTGCCACTTAAAGCTTGATGATTGCTGCTTAAGCACTGAATAATCGATCAAGTATGTTTACTGCTAATGTGCTCACCGCCCAGCTTCACAATGACAAAAAAAGGGCTCCAGTTAAAGCCAGATGCTTGCCGCTTTCTTGAGACATTCTGCTTGTCTAGAAACCAGTATTCGGTTCTTGTTGAAGAGCCCCAAAAACTAGCTTATGAGGTATGGATTGTCCGAGATCATAAAAGGAGATAACAGAATGTGGACTATATTAATACATTATCCTCGACTCGCGCATGCCCAGAGCTGGACTTCTGGAGCGTAAACAATATAACATGGTGGCGCTCAACTTTGGGTAACAACAATTGCGTTCAGTCCCAAACCAGTTGAGGTGTGGCTTGCTACCATATCAAGAAAATGGATCTTGGACCTAACTCAATCTCGAAAGCTTGTTCATGAGGTGATGATTGTCCAAGACATATAAGGAGACAATTCATTCTCTTGACCAATATAGGACATACCGATACTTACAATTCGTGCTCAGCATTTCCTGCTTGACATGATTTATACCTATTGTTTACAAGATTAGGCTTCTGACTAAGCTATCTTAATTGTACACTCCATTTTAGCCAACAAACTGCTTGTCTGTGATTTTGGTTCAAATTTTGGTACAGCTAGTCTTTTTGGAATCATGGGTGATCTTGATTCAATTTGGTTATAATAGAGGATTTGACTTATATCAATTGATAGTGTAATGAAATTTTTACACTACCGTGTAATTTAATTTGCTATAGCAAATTACTTTGTCTTATTTTCTTAAGTTACTAGTTCCACCTGTTATAGACGGTTACTTGCTGTCAACAATATTATATAAGCCTGCAAGCTGCTATAGCAATGTTGCTCTAATTAATTACCCTGTTATTGAATTTGCACTGATTCCCTATACTTGGTAAAAGTTTGCATGTATCATATGTACACACCAAATCATATTAACTTAATATTGTTAAGTGATTTAAAAAGTGAAAATATGCAATAATTAATCATGGTTTTGTGAATGAAATGTATTTGCAAGCACATGTCATGTATTTATTGATTCGATGATGCGGGTAAGTTTTTACCCAAGTTATAGATTGAAACAATAATGTAAGAGGAGGGCATATGACTTGGTCCATTCTTTTTGCTATGAGTTAATTTGCTGACACTCTATATACCAAAAGATAGTCGCATTTCCTTTTTCAGTTCGCTCTTATATGTTTCCATTTGTATCGGAAAGGTCACAGAGTTTACTAATTTGCCTTATGACACAAATTATGATTCATAAAACTGACTTCAATAAATTTGAGATTGAAGCGTATGCAGTTGATTGATATGTATCGTTTTCTCGACAAATGCTTTACGACTAAGCATGTTTGGCCAAGCTTTTCCAAGGTCAAAAATAATATTTTTATTTAAAAAATTGCCTTTTTCAAAGTTGAAGTGTTTGGTCCAATTTTTAGAAGAAAAAAAAGTGTTTTTGATTAGAAAGAAAACATTTTTGGAGAAGCAGAAAAAAATAGTTCCTCTCCACAAGTACTTTTTTGAAAAGCATTTTTGGAATAAATACACTGAGAAGCACTTTTTTAGAGCTTGGCCAAACACTAATTGATGCTCAAAAGTGTTTCTCAAATTTATTAGCCAAACACAAAAAAAGCACTTTTGAGAAAAAACACTTCTCAAAATAAGCTCAAACAGGCTATAACATAGGTAAAATCTGCAAAGACTGTGTTTGTGAGAAGCTGATAGTTTATCCGCACGAGACTTTTACACCAAATCAATACGTGAATGACATATGCTTACACATAAACTTTAACTATTTTAACTATGAGAATTAATGTATATTTTCACCTTATTTAATTTTATCATTGAACTATCCTAATTATTTAATATAGTTTGGTGTAAGGTGCAAGGCCTGAAAATTACAAAGTTGGAAGTTTTTATAGTAAAAATTACAAATTTGGTCGCCCCCATTTAACCTATACCCATATTTTTAAAATTATTTAACATATATCCTAATTTTAACAACTTCAGACGCCTCTTCTTCTTCCTCCTGACCTATGCGCTCCTTTCTTCCTCCTCTTCTTGTCTATCAAATTAACTTTTCAACCACTACTTTGATAAATTCACTAATAAAATGTGAAGTCAAATTAACAACTTAACCTGCATTTGATCAAATACTGTCATAAAATAACAAAACAGAGTATTGTTATTGTTCTCTATTTGAATTCAGAAACCCTGTCAACAGAAGGTAAAACGTGGGCTTCTGCAAATTTTACAATCCTTTATTTTGCAAGCTCGAGATACAAATCCAAATGCATCGAGAGCGTAACAGATACTCTCTAGTTCATCTTGTTATGTGTTTATCTCATACTGAATATACAGAAGTTCCAAATCCAGTATGAAGAACATGAAGAATTTCTCATGAGGTAAAGCCCGATGTGATGCCAAACCAGCTCTTAGTTACACTGAAAAGTTAATTTGTCCTGAAGTTTGCACTATAAATTGAAGAAGTTCAGACTAATTTGTCTGAAGTTTGTACTATGAAGTGAGGGGAAACTGAAGTTTGCCCTTGCACTATGAACTGAAGTTCCTGAAGTTTGCACTACAAATTGAAGAAGTTCAGACTAATTTGTCTGAAGTTTGCACTATGAAGTGAGGAAAAACTGAAGTTTGCCCTTGCACTATGAACTGAAGTTCTTGAAATTTGCACTACAAATTGAAGAACTTCAGACTAATTTGTCTGAAGTTTGCACTATGAAGTGAGGGGAAACTGAAGTTTTCCATTGCACTATGAACTGAAATTTGCATGATTGCTTTTGCAAGTCACGCCAAACTTCAGGCAAAAATATCTGAAGTTTTGCTTTGATAAGGCTACACTTCAGGCAAAAAATTCTGAAGTTCAAACTTCAGACATAAATTTTTGTTACTTCAGGCCCGTACGGCTGAAGTTACCCGAAAAGTGGGTACGCTTGTAATTTTTTTTACAAAGCGGGTATAGGTTAAAATGTGACCCAAAAACTGGGTATAGATGCAAATCACCCGTTTTTATATGAGCAAAACAAAATCTGTTGCCGTTAATTAGGTGCAGCTGCTTGCAGAGTAGGTTAAAATCTGCCCCTGTGACCCAACTGGCTAAACATAAGCAAGTGAAATACATATATTCTTTGTTTTTTTCCATCTTGCTGCCAAATCATCATGCACGTATAAATTAATTCATACTTATATTTTATAAAATATATAAGAAAACAAAAGCAAGTAACCACAATTTAAGACATAATTCAAGTATCATGGCCGATTAGTTGGCATCAAATTGTTAGGACCTAGTCTTCGTAGACCTTGAGAATTTTCTCTTTCCTTTTTCTCTTTAATTCTATCGAAAGAATATATTACGCATAATTAGTTACACTATACACACAGACAAAAGTATCATGATAGGGAGAGAGATAGAGGTCCCTTTATTTTTTATTTCCTCAATTATGTTTCTTCATAATTACTACTCATTCGATAGCACTAAACTTTATTATCTTATTTACGTTAATAATATTTTTGCGGGATTCACAAACTTCCTCAACTTGTGACAGCCGACTCCTCAAGATTTACAAATTACAAAAAGCTCCCTAATTTGAGTTGTGGTAGCTTATGCGGCCAAACTTATGAAAATTTAAAAATGCTCATTTTTCAACTTCATATTGATATTACCTTTAAAAATATGCAACGTTTATCTAGCATGGTGATATCGAATTCAGTTGAATTCATAACTTTAATTTTGACGTGGAGTATAAATTGATGTGTAAAATTTATTATAATTGCAATAAATAATATATATGAACCCATAATTTTAAAAATACAATGGGTTCATTGATAAGAACCTTAAAGACCGAAACCATAAATTTTTTGGATCCTTCGTTATGACAAATAGTGAAAGGATTGGAGTATACATATATTCTTCTAATTTGATGCATGTTTTTTGTCAATTATTTGAATGCTTTAGTATTAATCCATTCCCCTCCTTTCCCAACCCAAAGAAAAAAAGAATTCTTGATCTTTTTTTTATTTCTGGAATTCTTGATCTTTCCACCACCAAAATATTTAAAAGAAGATGCCAAAACTATATATTAAGTGTCGTATACGAAATTGCCAGCTAGCTAGTCAAAGAATGCCACATAACATATAACCTTTCTGGATTAACATGAGGGATTGGGTCCAATACAACCACACAAAAGGCAATAGAAATAAGCCCTCAAAACAACCCAAGGCGGCTGCAGATAGCAACTCTACAACGGCAGATTCTAAAACGTTTGGCCCCATTTAACTCCAGACAATTTCACATACAATTAGAATAATTCTCATCTAAGAATTAAATATTTTTTTATAAAACTTGTCACAGGATCTTGTCAAGTTATGTAGCAGTTCAAATGCATTGGCCCTACTTGCGAAATATTTTTCCATCAAGTGGTTTGATACTTTGATTGAGGTTTGTGTGAAATTTTTTACAATGTGTCACACATTACTGAAAAAAGTAAGACGACACTCTAAACTAAAGTATCTTGGTGAAGATTTTTTTTTAAATCATGTTATATTCAAAACTACTGACATACTTCATTTAAATTTGTGTCGCATATTCGAAACTAGTGACACGCTTCATTCATATTTACGCCGCGTAAGGTTCATTCAAGGATTTCCTACCATAAATTTCTCTATTCTAAAGGTTCGATTCTGAAACTTTTGATTATGGGCGGGACACCCTTAGACAGTCTTGATAAAGATTGAGAGTGAGTTTTACTTGCTAAAAAGTACTAAAGTTTCTTAGTTCAATTATGAGTACCTTTACACAACTAGCAATAGTTGTATGATACATATGGCAAATTTATCCGTTTGTATATATAGTGGATCAAAAAAGGGACTCGTGAACTCACACCTATCAATATAAATTTCTTTTACCAGAAGAAACACAAAAAGAAGTTATACTATATTAGAAGAAAAGAAATACTCCTTGTTTTTAAATTTATTCCCCTAAAGTTAATATATCTTGTTAAATATTTTATTGTAGACCGGTAAAACATAATGAATCATTGGACTTCTGCACTTTGGTTATGCTCCGATATTATATATAGATATCCTATTTTTATTTATCAAAAAAGATGATAGGTATCCTATTCTTTTCCTTGCATTATGAAGGAGCCATGCATGGACGCAGTTGTTCAGGTTGGTATAACCACTTTAGAAGCTAATTTTATTAAAGTGATAACATAAAATTACCTGGCACATATCTTTCCATTAGTACTTTAAATAATTTCAAAGGAGAAAAAGGTTCCTTCTCAAATAAGTAAACAATTGTAACAAAATATTAATTTTTATGCTAAAAACGGAAATCATTTTTAAGACCCCATATATCACTACTAAAAGATAATCATCCATATGACGCTATAGCGTCCCATTCAACTTTTTTCGAACTTCAATTGGACACTTTAGTACTTAAATTGTTCTATGCTACTGCCTACTGGTTTCTTTCTTCAATTGGGTGCAATAGAAATAACCGGATTCTAGGGACGGAGCTAGAGTGCGGCACACGGGTACGGCCGAACTTAATAGCTTTGATCTAAATTCGGATTAGTCTTAAAAAAATACATTGAACGTAAAAATTATTAATTTAGAACTCAATAATTTAAAGGAACTAAAATTACGAACTCATAAGTTTCAAATCTTGGCTCCGCATCTATTTATAACGCATCGATATTGTGTCAGCATGATGTAGTAAATTAGTCATAACTTTTACATTGTGAGCATCCCAAATCGTATATCATTACTATTGGAAACTACACTACGAGGAATAAAAAGTTTCTCTAACAAATGACCAAATTCCTTCTATATTATGAGGTTTACCTTCTTAAAAATTAAAATTGAATTACGTCTCACACAACCCAACCTCGGGTCAGGGACTTAGGGTCGATCCTTATGTTGGTATTCACTAGCCATATTGGGCACCAACAAATTACAATTACTCATCTATAAAGGAATAAAATTTTGGAAAAATAGTACTTCAAATTTAATTAAAAGAGGGGTCAATATAGTCTTAAAATTAAATATAATAACTTGAAAGAGGGATTCTTCTAGATCATTTTCACTTTATCAGTGGTCCTACTAACTATTTGTTCAAAGCTTAAGATCCAAGTTTAGGCTCCTTTTGTTCTTCTATTCATATTAGTACTAACTTTTTTCAATTCGGACTTTATAAAACTCTATCTTATTTTAGTTCTGACCTTTCTTTGTCCTAAAATGACAACTGTCACTAAAAGGATTGAATTTCCTCTCTTTCCTTTTTTTCCCCATTAAGTGTCTTCTTATTATAATTATAGAAAGGAAAGAAAAAAATCTTAATATTGAATAAAGTCCAACAAGTTTTAGCTAATGTTTTGTCAATAATTGACAAAAAAACATTTTCTGGCATATGAAATCCAGTTGCAAGTTGCATGGAGTTGATTGCCTGGACACGTGGACAGACTGTTCTCGTACGCATGATGAACTTAATTAGACTTCAGAAGTCAGAGTTCGTTATTTCAATTTCTAATAATCTATATATAGCTTTTTCTTTAATTAAGAAAAAAGATCAGTTCACCAATATTGACAATTAACTAATTACATTAATATTAGGCTTTTGAGACCTAACCCACATGCTATGTCCAGGGGCAATCCCGTCAGCTTAGAATACAGCAAGTTATAGAACCTGCTTTTCCTCTATTCTGCTTTTTCATATACAGTTTAAGAGCCCGTTCAGACATAAGAAATTTTTTACTTTTTTCCGAAAATTTTTCACTTATTTTCAAAATCATTATTTGGTCATAAATTTTTCAATTTTTACTTGAAGATACATTTTGGAATTTTTCAAAAATTTGAAAACTCCAAAAAGCTATTTTTTAAAATTTTCACTCAGATCACTCACAAAACTTCAAAAACAACCCAAAATTATATTCATGTTCAAACACAACTCTAATTTTCAAATACCATTTTTACTTTTTTTTTGAAAATTTACAATTCTTATGTCCAAACGCCCACTAAAAAAGAAAGAAAAAACTCTCTTCTCACACACACACATACACAGGGTGGAGCTAGTGTGCCGGTTACATATTAGGCAGAATTCACTAAGTTAGGTCAAAATCGTATATTAATTTTAAGAATTTTATCGAATATATACAAATTATTAATTTAAAATTCGAAAAATTAAAATAACTAAATACTAACTTTTAAATTTTTGTTCAAATATAAGTACTATTCTTATCTTGTTAAAGCTATGAGTTTGTTGCGCTTGTAAGTTGTAACATCAACACTTCCAATCGATTATAGTGATATATGACGTAATAATCCTAACTGATTGATTTTACGGCAAAGGGCTAAATATACCCCTCTATTTTCGAAAATGGTCTACGAATACCCTTCATTATACTATTGGGTTATCTATACCACTGCAATCATACTTTGGGTTCAAATATACCCCACATTTAAACGGAGGGACATGTGTCATCGTCTTGTTGGTCAATTCTAAATATCTCATAATTAATTAAAAATACCCATTATCCATACCCGAAAAATAATTTTTTTTTTTGTAAAAACTGGAAAAAACTAAAAAAATATTTTTACTAAAAACTGAAAAAAAAAGAAAATATTTTTTTTCCAGTTTTTACAAAAAACTACTTTAAAAAAACTGAAAAATATTTTCTAAAACAATATTTTTGTAAAAAATAAAAAATAAAAATTAAAAAGTAATTTTCTAAAGCAATTAAAAACTGAAAAAACTGAAATATTTTTAACTAAAAACTGAAAAAAAAGAAGAAAATATTTGTTTTTTTTTTTCAGTTTTTACAAAAACACTGCTTTAGAAATTTGCTTTTTAGTTTTTTTTTTCAGTTTTTACAAAAACACTGCTTTAGAAATTTGCTTTTTAGTTTTTTTTTTCAGTTTTTACAAAAATATTATTTTAGAAAATATTTTTCTGATTTTTTTAAAACAGTTTTTTGTAAAAACTGGAAAAAAAATATTTTCGTTTTTTTTCAGTTTTTAGTAAAAAAAATTTCAGTTTTTACAAAAAAATTGCTTTAAAAAATTACTTTTTGGGTATGATTAATGGATCTTTTTAATTAATTAGGAGATATTTAGAAGTGGCCAACATAACGATGACACATGTCCCTCCGTTTAAATGAGGGGTATATTTGAACCCAAAGTATGACTGCAGAGGTATAGATAACCCAATAGTATAACGAGAGGTATTCTTAAACTATTTTCGAAAGTAGAGGGGTATATTTGACTCTTTGCCGTTGATTTTATTTAGCCTTTCTTTTAGAAATCGGAATTATATACATTTCAATATATTGTTGGATAAGCAACTAAGGAGTATGGAAACGGATAAGTATAAATCACGGACTCAAAAACCAAAATACATGCTCCTTTAATTTTTTGGTTTCCCATATAATATTATTCGCATTAGGGTCTGATTCACACCGAAAAGTATAAGATAAAGCGCTTCCTAACAAAGAGGTTTTTTTAACAAAGACAGACTTCTTACTCATGGGTTCAAACCCAAGATCTCATAATGAAAGAATATTTATGGCTTCATTATAAATATTTATCGCTTCTCCTTTAATGGTATTATATATTTCCATGAATACCCCTTCCAATTGAACTTCTCCATAACCAACCATAATATAAAAACAATTTATCCAATATAATACTACTACCTCTCTCTCTCAAAGCACATAAATAAACACACTATATATATAGATAGTGGCATAGAAAGTACAGAAAAAACAGAGAAAGCTAACACAAAAGGAATAGTGAGGAAACAAAAGATGGATTTCATCAGAAAGAAGATATGTCTGTCTGTCTTCTTGTTTTTCCATGTCTGGTTTAGTACAGCCCTTAATGTCTCCACCATACCTTTTAGCGATGGCTTCAGCCATCTCTTTGGCGAAGGAAACATTCTTCATGCTACTGATGATAAGAGCCTTCAACTTCACCTCAACCAACGCACAGGTAAAAATATGTATATTCAACCTGTTTAGTACGACCGAAGTCATAAAAAATACTTTTTGGAAATTAAGTTAACGTAACTTCATGAAAATCCTTTATTTTCCTCTACAGATGTACATATAACTATCATATGATTTTCTTTTTCTTTGTTTTATGTCTTCCAGCTGTTCTGTTATCGTAGTTTTTACCATACCATATATATATTTCTAAATTTATTTCCCATTGTAATTATTTAAAATTCTTACAGGTTCAGGGTTTAAATCTTCTGACCTCTACAACCATGGTTTCTTCAGTGCTAAGATAAAATTGCCATCAGATTATACTGCAGGAATCGTTGTTGCCTTCTATGTATGCATCTCTACTATTCTTTTTTCCAAATATTATGATTTTCATATCGTAGTTTTAATTAATACGATCACGTATATATTTATTTATTTGTTTGTTTTGGGCAGACGACGAATGGTGATTTATTTACAAAGACACATGATGAACTGGATTTTGAGTTTCTGGGAAATATAAGAGGAAAAGCTTGGAGATTTCAGACAAATATGTATGGAAATGGAAGCACAAGTAGAGGAAGAGAAGAACGATATTATCTTTGGTTCGACCCTTCTAAAGAATTTCATCGTTACAGTATCCTGTGGACCAACAAAAACATCATGTGAGTTTTTTTAACTTCTTTCTTCAATTTTAAGAAAAGTACAAACATCATATCATCCTTTTACCAACGCGGGTTCGTTGAATTTGACAAATTTGCGGCTTCTTTTGATATTTGACCATTTCAAAACTACAGTTCCTTTTCTAGAAAGAAATATGGTACACATAACTTCCAAGGATCACATGTAAAATATGTTAAGTATATTATAAATAGGAATTTTTTACACCATTAGATTACTTGAAAATTAATTACTGTAGAAAATTACTCCCTTAAAAAAGAGACAAATAACCTCTTAGAACATATTAAATTGCACTGATAAAATTAAAAAAGGAAGCATTTGTATTCTTATAATTCAACTTGGATAACTTTCAAAATGATCTGGGACAAGAATCTGCCGTAAATTAAATGTGAAATTTGCTATGTAAATATATTGTAGATATAAGTTAAAATTCCTATAAATATTAGGAAATTTATGATCGGAAATCTGAAATCTACAACAAAAAAGAAGACCATTTCAGGTAATTAGGTATCAGAAAAGTACAAACAGAAATATAAAATTAGGAAATTGAAAGTTCAGGGAGATATTACCAATTAATAATATGCTTTTTGAATATTGAGAACGTAAGGTGCGACTTTTCTTTTTTCTTTGACGTGATGAATTTGTACTTGACTGGTTCAATGAATCTATTCATTTAACTTGTCAGATAGTTTATCTGATTTATTAAATGGACGACGTATAGCTGAACTGAAAAGTTTGATGTTCCGTGATCAAATTGTAGATAACCTAATTAATAATCTCCAATATTAAAGTAACTTATTGACAAATGACAATTACGTCTATCAATTTCAAGGTCTTAATTGATGATTTGACAATTTAATTTGCTTATTTTTTTCTTTTTGGATGTTAACATGAGTTTGGATTACCAGTTTATCACATACAAAACATATGGCTATAATATTTTTTAGAAGATAATATGAAAAAGGAAAACACACAGAAACAAACAATAGGAGACGTTGAGAATTTTCTTTCTAAAACCTCTTCAAGATACGCCAACCATTCAACCAATAGTCTGGTTGAATTAGTTTAACCACTTTGTATTACATTGAATTAACTAACATAAATTATTTCTCACTAGAAAAAAGAGAGATAAATATAGTTTAACCACTTTGTATTACATTGAATTGACAACATATATTATTTCTAATTAGAAAAAAAGTTCATATAACCTAATCCACATTAAAGTAATTAAATGATAGATATCTTTTAATATTGAACCAACTCAATTATTGACAATTTTTTAATTAAATTCTTTTTTAATTTTATTTGAGAACAGATTTTATATAGATGATGTTCCAATTAGAGAAATCGTACGTAATGATGCAATGGGAGGAGACTATCCATCAAAGCCAATGGGACTATATGCAACAATATGGGATGCTTCAGATTGGGCTACTTCAGGAGGCAAATATAAAACAAATTACAAATATGCACCATTTATAGCTGAATTCACTGATTTAGTACTAAATGGATGTGCAATGGATCCATTGGAACAAGTAGTAAACAACCCTAGTTGTGATGAGAAAGATGATGAACTTCAAAAGGCAGATTTTTCAAGAATTACACCAAGACAAAGAATGGCTATGAAAAGATTTAGGTCAAAATATATGTATTATTCTTATTGTTACGATTCTTTGAGATACTCAGTGCCACCACCAGAATGCGAGATAGATCCAATTGAACAACAACATTTCAAAGAGACGGGGAGGTTGAAGTTTAACAAGCACCACCATCGCCATCCAAAGAGAACAAAAAGTCAAGTTCTTGATGCTAGGAATTATGGAAATCAAGATGAAGAGTGATTTTTGTTTACCATTGTTGTGTATAGATAAAACGAGGAAAAGTGATTGTTTTTTGGTTTTCTTTGCTAGAGTGGAGGGTGGAAAAATGATGATATAATTATGTTAGTATGACACTGATTGAGTTATTGTATATAAATAAAAGGGGTTGTTCCTCATTTATAATAGAAGACCTTTTGTGATATGAAAGTCAAGTAAATTATGTATATCTACATCTATGCCTGTCTATCTAGATTATATTAAATGCATGAAGGCACTTATCGAAATGTCGTTCGCCTTTTTTTACCTCTTTAAAATAGAGTTCATATTAAAAGCACGAAGGCCCTTAGCGAAATGTCATTCACTTAGCAGTTCATATTGGACAAAATCGACATTTAAAATTATTTCCTAATATTTTAAATTTTTAAATCAATTTAAGTTTGTGCTTTAAATTCTTCCTTATTTGAACTAGGTAAGAAATCCTAATATTTAGGACATTATTAAAATATAAATCGTTAAGAAAAAGGTAAGGAAAAACTATCAACAATCCCAAATCAACAACAAACCATTTGGTTTGGGAAGGATTAGTGGTACGTGAATTTGTTACTAATTTATGTAGTTTTCCTTATATAGACCAACGTAATGTTACTTATGCTATTACGAGGAGGCGAAGCATAAATGCCACAAAGTTAAATGATGGAAACCATTGTAGACATGGACAAGTGATATTTGGCTTAATGTATGTATATTTTGATGTATATTGTCTCACATTTTACTCATGTCTCGAAGATTTGAGATGTATAACATGATTATTTGTGCTAATTTGTGGTATTTCTATGTGTAAGAATCATTCGGATGTAATTTGGGACGAAAGGGCGTGAATTGGAGCGAAATTGGGAAGAAAAGGCAAAAAGTAGAATTTGAGGGCCACAGGCAGCGTGGGGCGCAACCTGTGGCGCAATTTACAAAATGGTTAAGAGGGTGTGCGCCAGGGCCAGCGCCCCATGCTGCCCTGGACGCTCAAAATGCAAGAATGTCCTATTTCGACTAGGACTCGGTTATTTCGACCCCAAGATGCCCCCAACTCATATAAAAGCCAACCTAAACCTATTTTGAAGGTGGCGTGATTTTGAGAGAAAACCAAAAGTACGAAACACTTGGGAGCACAGATTTGATCAAATCTTCTATTCTTCTTCTAGTATTCATTGATTTTATGTTTAGAAAATATTATTTTTTGATGATTGTATGAACATGAGCGGCTAAGAACCCTATTATTCTAGGGTCATGGGTGATACATGAATGTTGATGTTTGAAGTTTAAATTGACGAATTTAATTTTATCATATTGAGTTGTTTATTTAATTCTGTTTTTAATTATTTTGCTGAGTAGCTAACAATGAAATACTATCTACAAATCTAGAGTTGAACTCGAAAGTGAGAATTCTAGATTGCATATAGAATTAAATAGAGCAGGTTCTTGAACTCGTGCATCGGGGAACAGATTCGCGGTTAGGATAGAAATATACATAATTGCCTTGTTTGGTTGAAATAAAGGAAGTGTAAATGCATTCTTGTTAATCTTAATTCCATAGACATATAGGCATTAAGTTAGCATGAATAGGCGAGTAAGAACTCGACAGATTCTTATAAGTAATATCAACTTTGTCAACCAACAATCCAGATAAATCAATTAGTCATTTTAAGCCAAGAACACAACATGATTGTTAGCTAACCCGTGACCCTAGAATATCATCTCCTATTGATTATTATCCAAAATTGCTTAAGTGTTGTGGTTGATTTCTGGTTATTTCATTGCTTGATAGTTTTAGGTAGTAAATTAGTCAATTATATATTTTGTGAGAAATCTCTTAAATCGATTAGTTATTTGAGTTTGAATCAGTCAAAAGTTAATCATAAATCTTCGTGGGAACGATACTCTACTCACTACTCTATTATTTGACGATTACGTATACTTGTGTGAGTGTGTTTGGTCGCAACAACAAGACTTTTCCAATAAATATGAGAGAGTGATTAATTATTAATATTTAGTTTGTATGATTTATCTCATACTATAATCTTTGAAAATTACACCTCAATAATTTCAACAAGTATAACTATAAAAATATAGGG